TGTTTGCTTCTCTGTTATGAAACGGAAATTGTGTCAAGGTCAAATTTGCATGAACACGCTAAGCAGCAAACTGAGGGGCAGCAAGGGGGCGGCGGCGGCGGCGGGGGGCAGACAGTGGGGCACCTCTCAGCTGTTCTGTGAGAGCGAGAGAGAGATTTGCAAATAAGTTAACCTCACTTTAGTGCTAGTTTTTTTCCCCCCACATATATACATATATGTACACATGTACATATGTATGTATGATATTCCAATCAGAGAAACTGTCAAAGTAAATGGAAATTAATGGACAAGTGGGTGAAAACTAAGCAAATATCTCAAGATATATCTAAAGAGGGGTGGTATGTGCTACGGTGGGTGCAGGGGGGTGATATATGTACATGTAATATTTGCCCCCACTAAAAGTCGGACTCCGATCGAGTCGGGCATTTCCCATGTCAAGCTTAATGACACGTCGTTTTTTTTTTTTTGTTGACTTTTTGTTTTATATTTAACCAGACGAATGTGTGAATAATTATGCAAGTGCACTGTGGTGCGACAGGGGCGGGGGGTACTTGAAGGAGGGGGCCGGAAAGCCTAACCATTAATTAGCTAATAAAAAGTAAATGATAATTAAAACAGCTAACGAATCGATGTAAGAGCCAAGATAAAGAGAGTTGTAAAGAGATGCTTAAAAAAAAACCCGAAACTAAATTTAAATAAAAAAAAAAAACAAGCCAAACAAACAAACAAAAAAACAATTGGAAATTACTTACTGAGATGGAGAAAAGGAAACCCAATTAAAAAGCAATGATTGAGCTCTGATAAATGCATTAAGCGCTATTTGGAAATCTCTACAACAAAGAAAACATTCGATTGAACTCTTTAAACTCTACTTACATATAAGAATAAGAATCTACTGGTTTCCCTCTCTAATCTCTCTAAGACTTCCGTGTCGTTCAAGTTGTCCCACTTCAAATAACATTCCCGCAGTGATGGTGCACTTCCTGGAGAGCGCTCTTCATAAGAAATTATGCAACTCTCCAGTCTCAAGCATGCTCCGCAACAACAAGAAATGCCTCTATGCGAGGCTTGTTCAAGTGAAATCATTCTCTAATTATCCGAGATTTACTGCATATCTATGCAACGATGATGCATCATCCTCATCATCTTCGGACCGATCATTCATGCCATTATTCCACACACAACATTCCCGGATGATGAACAGAACACCGCGCATAAGGAACAGCAAATGATGAAATGTTTAACAAATGATACTCTTGTATTATTAATAATCTCTGATTATCCAACCACCGGGCCCCCCTCCTTCTCCCCATACCCGCCACTACCATTTTTTTTTTTCGAAAGGCCTGTGTATATGTAATTCTCGACCTCCCACGATCGATACGATCCAGCTGGACAAACAAATTGTTTGTTTTCGTCTTGTTTTATCATTAATTTAAGCAAATAAGCCAAAAAGGAAGTTGGCGCTGAAACTGATTCATATAACAACCATTAATATTGCGCTTAAAAGGTATGGAAAGGGTAAGGTAAGGAGGTGAGGCATGCAATAGAAATGTAACCCCACTCTCTGATACCTTTCTGGTTTAAGTTAAAGTAAATTTGATTATAGTAACAATAAAACATACACCAAAAGACTTTCCACAATCAAACTAATTTCAACCAAGTTTGCCTTTTTTATAGCTACTATTCCATCCAGAACGTTCCTTAAGCAGACAGACTGGCAGACAGGCAGACACTGCCAGTCTTCCACTTTGGGCTAATAAATTTTGTTATCGCCCGCACTCTAAATACCAGCAAAATTAGTCATAATTCAGACAAAGCCCAAAAGCCGAAACAACAAAATGGCCAATTAATAGATCACTATCGGAGAGCGGTGGCAAACAGCTGCTGTATAACGCTGGATGCTGGATGGAATGGCAAGCGAAGGCTTCGCAGTTGGCAACAAGAAATATGCTTTAAAAGAAAGGGAATATTAGACTCGAAATGGAAGTAGAATGTGAGAACTGGTGGCTTAGAGACTTAAGAACCAAACTAAACAAGTTTCAAAGATTTTATATTGGATAAAAAAAGTTTATATATCAGCCCAATTAAATAATAAATACAGTAGGCGCATTGCAGATACTTTAGTTATCTTTCTTGCAGGTAAAACAGTTAAAAAAAAACCTCATATTATATAAAATCTAATAAGAGCTTTCCCCTAAGCATATAACAACTTGTGTTCTGTTATATTCGTTTTGTCAAACAGTTATACCCATAAATTGGTATACCCAGCGAAAAACTCGCGCTAATAGCATCGATAAATCGCTCAATCCAGATATGCAAATGCAAAAATTCAGGCATCAGGCAGGCAAACAAATTGTACGAAAGCCAAAAGCTAATTGGAAATTCCTGCAGGCAATGGGAGCCCAAAAAAGTGAAGGCAACACAACTGCCACAAACAGAAAGAACTGCAACAAGCAGCAGCAACGACGTGGGCGACAACAAGTAGGCCCCCAGGTCTTAGGTCCGGGAACGCAGCCGGATACACATATTTATATTATACCATATATTGACAGGCCACACTTAGAACCCTGGAATCAGTGGTTGCCTGACTGCCTGAATGGCTGATGAAATGCCAAACGGAATGGCCATAAGCCCCAGAGACAGAGAGAAACAGAGAGACTATGACATTAATCTCTGCTGCAGACAGGCACATCTTTTGAGGCAGGCCAATACATTTGCATGGCATATCCCCGTCACACTCCACCACTCCATCTGCACTCCACAGTTCATTGGCGTCGTGTGACAAGCCCACCAAGCAGCAGCAGCAGCAGCAGCAGCAGAGGCAGCGCCAGCCGAAGGGGGGCCGAGCAGACCAAGACATTGACACACAGACAGAGGCGGAGCACAAGTCTGGTTTCGGGCCTCCATCCATCCACACACCTTCGGCACACACACCCCCAATGCCAGAGGCAGCGGCAGAAATAAGAATGGAAGGCTAGCTGAGGAGAAACCCTTTCAGATCGGAAGAAAGGGTGCAAACAATTGCTGAAATAAGGAATACCAAACGCAAGGGTAACCAGAAATCAAAGAGTGCCCCTTCACCTATTTACCTTTTGGCCAGCAAGCATTTACTGTTAACGATAGCTCTGCTGCTGCAGCTTGACCTTCGAAATGGTATGCCATGCCAGACCGAAAGCTGCCAGCTATGAGCTGAAAAAACTTTCCATTGAATGAAATTTCGAAGCAAGTTCGTTGCCTAAATCTTTTGTTTGAATCAAAGTCGACGTCTAGACGAATTTATGAGGCGCGACAATGCGATGGGAATGGGAACTGTGAGATGAGAGATGGGGAGGGAGGCGTGACCCAGCATGACGCTGGCCTTTACAATATAGAGTCATCAGCCCTGATCGGTGCCCGTTCCCGTTGCCGTGCCCCCACCGCACTCAACTCCCCTTCTGAGATTTCGACTGTTATACTTAATGGGCCGCAAGAACCAGACAGAAAATTTGCTAAAAATAACAAAATGGGCCGCAATTACCGGCAAAAAATAGCAATGATGTTAAAAAAAGAAATAACCCACGCGACCAGCAAACAATCAAGCAGTAACAGCAGCGCAGCAGCAGCAGCAGCAGCAGAACGAACGCCCCAGAGGCGGGGAGTAATTTGTGTTTTGTGAGATGTGGGAAACACTCGAAATTACCAAAAATTTGAGGCGACTGTCGAAATAATAATACAAAAAAAAAAATAATAAAATAAACTCAACAGAACAGAAGAGAAGATAACACCCCAAGAGCCCGGCACCCGGATTCATTATTTATGGCTCTTATTGCTGGTTTTATTTTTTTGTTTGTTTGTTTCTCAACCGATATGTATGTATGTGTGTGTGGGTATATTTAATATTTATTGATTTCGCTGCTGGAGACAGCCGCAGACGGGCATTCATCACGTGCGTCATTTAACAGTTCAATTGATTTGAATATATATCCCTCCTCTTCTCGTACGTGTGTTATTTATAGACTTCTGACTTTGTATAACTAAATACTATCTATAGATTCCAGCTGCGAAAATTGCGCCCCCTCAAATGCCGAATCCCTTATAGATCTTGCTGCTATGCTCTAAGACATCATGAGTCATATTCTTTAATGCAGGAAATTTATGGGATTACTTAATAGCCGACTGTCTCTGGCGTTGGCTTTCTCTTTCTCCTTCTCTTTATTTAACCGGTCTGCATGGGGTCTTCTAATTGGTTCGCCAAACCAAAGCGGATATCTGTATAAGCCGAAAGCATTTTGTACTTTCCAATTTATAACAAACAAAATTCCACCATTCAAACAAAAAATCCGGTTCTAGTTCAAGTTCTGGCTCCAGCAGTAATTTGTTACAATTTATTTCCCCCCCCGACTATTAGCGGACAATGGACAACGGACAGGGAACGAACTCCCCCACAATGCGTATTATTTTTTGCACAATTTTAATTGTGCCGCAATGACAGTAATTAATGATATTAATTGATAATTAATTAAGTAAAGCATAAGATCGCATGACATACTACCCAACCACATTGTACATATACAAATTATGATGATGTGATGATATTTCTTATCCCCCAAAGTCATCTTTCTTTGGCCTCCACTAACCACCCCCACTTTTCGGTGAGGAAACCATTCATTAATTAGGGTTTTCAAACATTGTTTCACTCGCGCAAACTTCTTCTTTTTTTTTGTTTGGTCTCTACGGTTTGTTAAACACTGAGTTTTGAGATACGTTTTATCTTGTTAATGAGCTACGAGAATTAACAACTAAACGGGGGGTGTGGTTTCAGATGTCTAATTTTAACTAGAGATGGTCTTTTAAATATTAAGAAAAACTCTACAAAATATACATTTATTTATATTTATGGAAAGTTATTGCATTCAAGATCTTAACTTATTTTGATTTATTTACGTTTGAAAAAGAAAACATTCAAAATAAATGCCAACGGATATTGCTTAAAGGTAATACTTGAGGAATTTATGGAGAACACAAAACTGAAGAGCTTCAAAAAAACCGTACAAAAGTTTTCCCCAAATTATTTACGTGTCACGCTTTCATCTCTATCAAAAACAGAGAAAAAACAATAAAAACCTGGCGCGTGGCGAAAATAAAACATTCGAAAAACCTCAAAGGCCAGGCAACAAATTAGTGCCACAAATTAGTGGGAAACCATTAAGAAATTGCTTAGCACTTCACAGATTCTATGCAAAGTTCCAATAAGATATCAATCCAACAATTTATGAGCCACCGATCGAAACGAGTTCAGCAAATTGAAACAGATCAATGACCCAGAGAAGAACTACTGAGCATCCAGAGAAAAACCAGAGCACACCCGTTGGAGGTATGGAAAAAAATCGAGGCGATGGTTAGGGAAGATTCCAAAAATATCCAACGATTATCCATGTCAAAGTCCAGTTTATGTTTTTGGAGGGAGGGAAAATAGATAATCAATTAGCTTGAAAATCGTATGAATAAATGTTGAATAATTACCGTAATCTTGCGACTGCAGATGGCTCCTTCTGCTGCCCATTTTTTTCGGCTTCGCGATTGATCAATTCCGTTTGTCGCTTTCACTAACAAATTGTTATTAACATATTGGAAATATTTAAAATTGTGAAGGGTTTCTGTTTTTGTGGTTTTGTTTTGTTTAGTTTGGTATAAATGTTGTATGTTATACACATTATATATATTTATTAATTCTCTGCTTTTGTTGGTTGGTTGTTTTGTGTGTGTTGTTGTTTGAAGATGAAGAATGTTACAGGAGCAGAAGCAGGAGCAGCAATATAAGATGTTTTGTAGTAGAAGAGAAAGATGTTTGCAGCAGCAGGAAATGTAGTAGAAAGCGAAAGATTTACACATTTCAAATGTGAGGCATGAGAATATTACAGACTAATTGAATTTGCATTTGGAAAAGTCCATCTCCGGATGCTGTTGTTTGAATCTGCAAAAAAAAAAAGACGAACAAAATAAAAAATCTAAAAAAGAGAAAAATTAAATAATTTTGTGTACACACTTTTCCATGATATCCTGCTTTTTGCGATCCTCGCTGGTGGGCAGACCCATCTCCTTTTGACGCTGATCGAACATCATCTTCTCGACCATGCTGCGCGTCTCCCCATCCAAATCGGAAAGCTTCGATGGCTCTGGATTGATCTTGCGCGTGGATATTTCGGGATCGCTGGTGACCAGACGGTTCCACCAGTTCATCTTGTTGATTTTGTCCAGGGTAATGAGCACCGTCTTGCTGTCCTGCAGCACCCACACGGACTCCTCCTGCTTCACCTCGCCACTGAGCTCGCCATCGATGATGGGCTCCTGGCCCTTGAGGCCCACTTTGAGCGTTTTCTTGCCAATGCTGACCACCAGATCGCGGGCACGCAGAGCGAATGTCACATTGAAGGGGATCTTGAGCTGTAATTCGAAAGAGATTGGGAAGGTGGGGGGGTTTAATGATGCGGCACAAAGTGGAGTAGTATACATTCAGATCTTTGTGTAACCCTGCTTCGAGTGTTGTCTTGTCTTGTGGATGGATGTGGAGATGTGGAGACGGAGATTAATGATCAGAGATTGGATTCTTTGCTTTGGTCAGTACTCAACGTTGGATGGGCTAATAATGCTCTAAAAATAACTCGAATCGACTCGACTCGACTCGACTGCAAGCGGCAGAGGCACGTCTCTGCTGTATCGCAGCTGCAAGATCTGTTTAGTGCCCTTCACCAGATCTGAGGTCTGGGGCCAGAGGCCGGCCTGCTCACTGGTCCCTTTGTTTCAAGGACTGTAACTGGAACGGGAATCTAGTTTAACGGCCAGATCGAAGGTCGTACAGCGGTTCTTACGAACAGGATCCGGTTGCAGAAGGAATGCCGTTCGACAGGTTGCATGCATGGCCTATGCCTGCGCAGATGGATTTATGCCGCTGCTGGCCAAGTTCAAAGCAATTACACTGGCGTCTAGAATTATGTGCCACGGTTGGCCACTAATTATAACTACCCCCTCACCCCTTTGGGGCATACATATATTAACACCTTTCCCATTAGCCCCACGCTCGCAGCCCAGAGTTATTATTCGACAACCACTGTGCAATCAATTAGCGATTCTCATGTGGCAGAAACAATGTGTACAATGTGTGTGTGTGTGTGTGTGTGTGGTGTGTGTGCTGGAGGGGGGCGGGGGCTAAGGTAAACCTTTATTTTAAATCTCACGATGCGGCATTCAACCAAGGACGCGCTTACGCTCCATCTCCGTCGCCAACTGTCTGTGTGGGCAGTGGAGCCAAGGCAGCAGCACGGCACCCCGGCCACAGCACGCGGCCCGTGTCAAGACAGAAGCTCCAACGACTCCACCGAATGTGGGTTGCATCTTCATCACAAATCATAAATATACAAAACAAAAAAAAATGTGTCAAAAGCTGAAACTGAAGCGGATGTCAATTGGAAAACTTTTGAAATTGTACACGGATATGAGGCAGAACGAACCGACGCCAAGAACCCACCATCTGGGCAGGCCGTGGCCGTGTCGTGTGGGCATGACACATGCACAGAGAGCAGCTGGCAACAGTAGCAGAAATAATTTTGATTGATTTGCCAGCAAATTGGGGCAGCAATAAATATAAATGAAACGATGGATAATTGTGGTGTTGCACAGAACTGAAAATACTCACGAAAAAATACTAGCAATCGATGGAAAATAAATCCAAGAACGTTTCTATTCTGTTTAATTCTTCATTTATTTGAAAGAGTAATTAAATTTATTCACAGCTCGTGGCGTGGCGTGGCTTTCTATTCTGCACAGCTGAAGGTTATGCAAATGGCAATTCCATACAATTCTATGCTCAAAACTAGGAAATTTACACAAATCACCAGACAAGAGGGAGACACTGGCCTGAGACACACACACACCTACATAATGGCGACCATTAAATGCACAAAAAAAAAAAAAAAAACACTCACACAGATGCTGTGGGTCTGTGAAGCGGCTCATGATGCGGCTAAAATAAACTGAAAACTTAAAAACCAACCACAATAGTCGCTAGAGAGGGGCACACCAGAGGCAAGAATAGAGTTGAAGAGCCAATGGCAGGCACAGCCCCCGGATTGCCCGTCAAGTCAGAGTTCGTTTTTGAGTTCAGAAAAGGTGTCGTGCATGAATTAATGAATAATAACCAAATATTGATGACTGTCAATGCTGCCGTGATGGACACTGTCTGCGCTGTGACTACGACACATGGCACACTTCTCGCTAGGTGAGAGCAAAAGGGAGAGAGAGAGAGACGACACGAAAGCCATGAAGCACACAAAATTGGCCATTTTATGCAAATTCTCTCCCCCGTCCCACCTTCTCACACTCGCTCGCTCTCTCTCTCTCTTGCTAATCAATCATTGAGCGGTCTGAAGAGTCTGCACTAATTCGGTCTCTCCGGCTGCTGTCCCTCCTCCTCCTCTCTCCAGTGTGTCTCCTAAAGTGAAAGAGATCTGTCGGCTTGGCCTGCTGCCGTTTTAACTGTTTTAGCTTATTCTTCTGCTGCCATGCTGCCATTGATTAATTCTATAAAATTTGCAAACACATTTCATTTTCTTTAAATAGTTTATATCTATCTAGTCGAGTCGAGCGGAGCCGAGTGTATAATTTATGCTAAAAGATGCGATTCGGTGCCAGGCACCACCGAAAAAAACGATCTCCAACAGAAGTAGCGTTGGAAACACACCATCCAAAAACCAATAGCAGTAACAGCAACAACATCAAAAACAACAACAAAAAACAGAAAGCCATTTAAGAAAAAAACAAGAAACGAATTGGCATTGGGGGCTGCTGACAGTTGAAATACTCTTTTGCATAACTAGCATTGCCATGATATAGCCAAACGATTCGTGTTCAATTCCTTGAAATATCTGCCGAAACATTGTCCACAAAAATCAATCGATATGCGCTGCATAAACCACTATGATCCGTGGAAACATATTTCTGCCTGTAGGAAAACGGAGGGCCTGGCTCTGTCTCGTTTTCTGCTTTGGCAGCATTCTAATGAACAAAACCCAAATACCTCCGTGCAAGGGTATGCCAAACAAAACTAGCTTCAATAGAGTCAAGTATGCGGAGTGCCCATGCCCCAGGAGGGAGTGTGTGTGTGTGTGTGTTCGATTGGAGTGCTTTGTATTCGATAATGTTATCAGACAAAACAGCTGAGGCTCATAGTCAGACTGAGAAGTCAAGCAGCGGTAGAAGGCCAGGGCATACCTCATTAAAGCGGCTTAGGCTTGAGCTTATTTGTGGGCCAGAAGTGGAGTAGATGGAGAACCCCAAACAAAGGCAGACAGAGAGACAAACACACACAGCGTAGCAAATTATTATTTGTTTGCTCTAATGTCTGATTAGAATGTTCTCCTACACACACACACATACACACAAAAACTAGTTCCTATTGGGAATGCTACAAACTTTGATCCACTCCCGTACCTCCCGTACCCATAGAGATGAGAGAGATCTCTCTCAAGAGTGTGTACATTATAATCCGTATTGACATTTGCCCGGTTCAGGCATCTAGCATACAAAACAATATTCAATTCATCCGGTTAACCTGGCCAAAGATCATCTTTGAATTAAAATTCGGTGCGAAATAATATCTAAGATCTTGGCTATAACTGAAAGTCTACAGCTTCATGTGCTACATAAATTATAGCAAAGAAATCTCCAAACATATAAAACATCTTTGCATCGAAAGACAGAATATATAGATCTGCCCAGATTTGTGCATTAATCAACAAAGATGGAAAACTTCTAGATAATCCCGGCATCCCATATATTATGCAATTTCTGGGTGTGCTCCGTAGATCCCATCTCCCTTATTGATAGATCTTTCTGGAACTTCCCCAACTCATACAAAACTGATGTCAAGATCTCTAATCAGGAAACCAAAACAAAACAAAACAAAACAAAAAGCGAAAACGGATCTCTAAAGCGTTTCATTTACCCAGGCTTCTTTGTCAGGTTCTACGTATAGTTCTGGGGGGCTTTGTTTGGGGCTTGCCTTTCTGTTTGAACCCCACCAAAGTTGACTCTTTTTTGTATTGGTTTGTGTGTGTGTGATTTATAGGAGAAACCCACTAAAGCGTTTTATAAGCTAAAAAGGTGTGAAACGGACAAATAAAAGATCACTTTTCGTTTATATAACCTGCAATTAGAGGCTCTGGCCATTAACATAGTAAAGATGTATATATAGACATACAGATATAACCGATGCTACGTAGCACGCTCTCTGGCTGACGTGATGAGGTATGTATCAAATAAGACATTTAGAATTTCCGCCAGTCTTTAAGTCAGGATTCCTGACTCACCGCAGCCCCTAAGGGCAGAAGAATCACCAAATCCGCCAAATTGTTTGCATAGTTAAAAGCTATAGATTTCTATACGAAGAATTATACTAAACATTTAATAGAGGCAATCAATAGAGACCCGAGCCCCCGAGGGTCCAGCAAAAAGTCATAAGCGTGTCATACGTCAACGGCAGCCATCCATGGCCCCAAGGGATTTCCCCGTTTTGAGCGATTCCCCCCAACATATCTTCCATCTATATTTTTAGCTATTTCTCTAATCCCAATTGTTGTCAACTAAAATGGAACAGAAATCGAGTCGAATATCGAATCGAATTAAATCGCGTCGCGTCGCGTCGTAAGATCCGTTCGAGCGTCACTCTGGTCGATTGCTATTTTGCATGCTTAATTATATGCATAAAAAGATCTTTGTTTATTTGTGTTTGGATCTTTTTTGGCTGTTTGGTTGGTTGGTTGGTTGGGTTTTTTTTTCCTGCTGCGAGATGTGAATGTTGTTGATTCTATTCAGGGGGAATGGTTCCAAATGGTTTTGCGATCTATAGCAAGTGTTTTTTTTTTTTTCGGGGTCTCACCAGCTTTTGAGTGCCGCCCGTCCCTCAATCTTCGGTTCAAGTGATCTCCATCGGCATGAGGTTCTCCCGTAAACGCTTCACCTTTATACAATCTCGTTAAGTGGAGAGTACATTGGCCGCTCCGTTGGGCTGTTCATCTGTACATCTGTTGGTAACCTGGTAACTGGCCGTGTCAGGTAATCTTTGTCAACGCGTCTGATTAAAGCGACAGACAGACGGCAGCACTTCACTTATACTCTCCGCACCGCAAAAACCGAAAGCCCAACCAAAAATCAAGCGTTTGGGAAGGCAACAGGCAGGCAGGCAGGCGGCAGGCCACTCACTTGTCTCACTTAAAAGGTGATAACAAGATGCTCGACAGAGCAAAAACCAAGCACCAAACACAACACAAAACACACACAAAACTTCGAAAAGATTCAGCAGAATCTCTGTGTTGCCTTTCGAGAAGCTCCCCCCAACAACAGATGACAAATGGGGGGTCTCGGATCTCGAATCTCGAATCTCGGTAACTGGACAAAAACTTAAGTCAACAAAAGTGGTGTTATGTATATTGGGGATTTTTGGGAATTTATTTGTTTGCTTAAGCAATTTTTCCCAAGGGATTATTAGTTTAATGATATTATGACAAGTAATTAGATATAGATCTAGAAAAATACAAAATGTTTGAAGAGTTTTACGGGGTAAGCCAGCACTTGACTTTCAAATTAAAACATGCAAAAGACTGAATAGAGGCGTGGCACCTCAACCGGGTGCCCATCTTGGAGAGTGATTAAATTACCCATAATTCATCGATAAAGATTTGAATGCTTTTGTTCTGTCCGTTGACGTAAATACGGCTCTTTCTGTGTATATAAAATCAGCCGAAAATAGACCAAAATGAAAATTTGGCTTAAATATGAAATAACCATACAAATAATAGAAATGATATGTATTTATAAGACCATAAGCCGTTAATTTAATATCAGAAATGCCATCCAATATGGTTAACGAGTATCCCATCATATGCTACTATAATATGATAAATACATATGATACGGTACTACAGCAAATGGGTGGATCGTATCGGTCAAGGTTTGCCCTTAATTAAGTTAACATTAAATTAGAATTATGTTTGGATGGGTTTTGCCCACAATCAAAATTGGATTTCGGCACGGATCTAAAAAACGCCTACACACAACCCAAACGAAAAAAAAAAACCCAAGAAGAGCCCTTCAAAGAAGAACAAAGCAAAAGGAGAATACTTACACACAACATGGATTGCAGGTTAATGAGCATCAGCAATAACAAAAAACAAAAAAAGGGCAGGCACAGGGGCAGATACAGAGAAATGAAAGTAGGCAAAGAACAATCTGATGAGCAGATAAAATGTTCAAACATCAAAGACCAAAAACCCGAAATGAATCGAGAGGAAAGAGCTGCCAATCGACAAGAAATGTACGGTATGAGAGATTGATAAATATAGCCGTGGCCCACCACAGAACGACGACGACATGTTATGACATGCAAAATCCGGCAAGAAAGTCGCAAGATACAGAGCCACAGCCAAAGCTTTGCTCAACGCCAACAGAGGCAGCGGACAGCGACAGCGACAGAGACGCCAAAAGCTTTGCTTCGCTTCGCTGCTGCTGCGAGACGGCCAGGCCTGCCAAGTCGAACTTCATTTCAATTCTAAAAGCCGTTAAGATCGGTTCTGTTTTGCGGTACGCGAGGAAGACGAATAGGAGGCAGAAGATTCCAAAAACGAGATCGTGACTGAGAGATAAGGAGAAGCAAACAGCCAAACGGTTTCCCCAAACAGCAGCTGCTGCCGAATGTCAGCTGAGTGTTTCGCGAGCCTCACTTCATCGTAAATTATGCATTCAAAAATATCATAAAAGATATATTTAATTAAAGATCAGACCCCCACACACACCGCAACGCACCGCACTGCGAGAGACAGACTGACAATCAGAGCAAGACTCTGCTTAAAAATACCTGAGATTGTGATACTAATTACTAATTAAATATTGTGTGTGTGCACGGTTGTGTGATAAATTGTTGTAATAATAAAGAAAATTATAACCAGACAAGAGAGCATAAATACAATACAAAAAAACAACACAAATTAATACCAAGAGTAAGTAAAGTAAATCATTCAGAAAACGCAACACACAGCACATTTTGTGTGAACACAAATCCCCCAATCACAACAATCACAAAAACAAACTGGCAAATCAAGTTGAATAAATAATTTGTGGGGTGATAAGACTTCCGCATGCCTAAATAATATTTACAATAAATAAAACGCAAGAAGCAGCACGGGACACACAAAAATGTATGGAACTTCTGTTCTTTGTAAGCAAAGGCAAACAAAAGACGGACGCAAGACAAGACACCAAACTTGAATTGCAACTTTTGTGTGTGTGTAGGCAAATTGATTTTGGATACACTTTTACGATCCACAGAGTTAGAATTAATTGCAACAATTAAAGCAGAAACCATTTAAAGTGAAAGGCTGGAACAAAGGCAAAACAGACACGAAACTGTCCCTGTCATCCCAAAAAAAAAAAGAAAAAAACAGCAACAATAACTAGCAGAATTAATAATAAATAAATATAAAATCAGGCTTTTAAACAAACCAGAGGTCCATAAATTTCAAACAAGTTGGTGGCCAATGCAAACGAAGAGACGAAGCCAACTCGAAAGTTCAGTTTTTTTTTTTTGTTTTTTTTTTGTATTCGTCTTCTTTTATGTAAAGCTATGAGACCAGGCGGTGAAGAACTAACAGAGGAGTGGAGGAAGAGAGCGTGCATGCGTTTGGGGAAGACTTAAATGTGTAGAAAACAAAACAAAAAAGGTTCTAGCGGTAAATGCAGGGAATATATAGGCGAAAGCCAAAGCAATGCCGAAAATTCTTGAGGAGAGAGTAAAACGCGAGAGCGAAGGAACAAATGCAAGATGAGCTTTCCTCTCAGTGACAGTGACTCTACTTCTTTCATTTACTCCAACTCAAGCCCTTGCCATTTTTTGATCGCTCATCCACTAAGCTGTCTCTCCTTTCTGCCCGCACCCAAATACTAATCACATTCTATGTTCCTCTCCCTCTCTCTTACAGATGCAGGATTATTGGCACATTCCACGCGCCTCGCTGGCCTCCTCCAGCAGCTCGGCCATCAGTTCGGCCAGCTCCTCAAAGTCGTCAAACAAATCGAATTCCAATCCCCCCACACTGGCGCAGCGCAGCCACCAACAGCAGCAGCAGCAGAACAGCAGCAGCAACAACAGCAGCGGGAACACTACAAGTGCGACAAGTGCTGCCGTGACCGCCGCGGCGGCGGCAGCAGTGCTGGCAGCAGCCAAACGGGGATCGCGCAGCTCTCAGGGCTCCAGTGACAGCAACAACAGCACGCGGGTGAGTAAGCGGTTGCCCCCACGCAGGCGGATACACGAGCCGTGTGACTCACGTTGAAACATTCTCTTCTACATATAGAGCGCTGCTTCCGGCTCACTGCTGCTGACGGCAGCGAATCTGGAGCGCTTCGCGGAGATCCACAAGAAGCAGGAGCGCCACAACAAGATGCTGATGAATAGCACATCGCCCTCCTCCTCATCGGCCAACTACAATGCGAATCTGGCTTTGGCCAGCAACGGCACCAATCCTGGCAAGGATGCGGTGATTGCCATCGATGGCCATGATGGAGCAGAGGCAGATCCAAATTTGCACTATATCAAAACCAAAGACCTCGACACCGTGTCCATTGCCAGCTCCATGCACTTTACGATGGTCAACGGCGACAACGGACCCCCAAAGAAGCCCAAGCGTGGACTCTGCGATCGCGGACGACAGGTCACAGTGCTGATTGTCAGCATGAGCACCATCTTTATGCTGCTCATCATGGGCATGGTCTATGCGCTAGAGAGTGAGTTCTGCCTTAGGATTTTGAGCTAAACTTGATGTTAATATCAATCCATTTCCCTTTTGCAGTGCGTGCCCGAGATATGCCCAAGAGCTAATGGCGGGATCTATCTATCTAATCGAGTATCCCCATCTTCTCCACTGGCTAGTAAATTAGTTTATTATTTATTGTATTGTATTCTGCTACGTTTTGAGCCAAGCCCCAATTATTATTGTTATTGTGTCGTCTTTGAGCTAGTTGTGTAAGCTATTTATTAAACAATTGTTTGGAGTGTCAGTTGAAGCTCGGAAAATCGTATCAGAAAATGTTTCACCCGCACACACACACGATGCTAGTATTAAGACAGAGAAATATGCACACAAATGGAAGCATGAATGTATTTTCTGGTTACCAATTAAGTTATTTATCCCTGTGATATGTTTAATAAAGTGAATTTTCTAATTGTAAATGTCGTTGGCCCCTTTCACACACCTGCCGCCAGAGGTCAATGACTGGAGAACCGAAAGTCAGCCCATAGCAACGCCCTAAACCATGACAACACCTCTCACTGGGTCAACAACAACACCGAAACAATGCAGGGGGTGGGGTATAACTTTTCTCGGACTCACCTCAACCTCCTGCAGGGTCTGTGTCCACATGTACTTGTCCAGGGTGCAGCCGTTGCCGGCATTGGGCTGCAGCTTGCCCACCTCCGCCTTCTCCGAGTCATCGTCGACTTTTTCTATGGGCTTGGATATGTCGTCGAGATTCGAAGTGACAGCACCGCCGGCAGAGTCGCCACCGGCTTTGTCCAGCAGCTGCTGACGTTTTCTAGAGCACGAAATACAATGCACCATGTTAATGGGTATCTGAATCAGAAGGCCCGGCAGCCAACTCCCTACTTGTCCTCTTCCTCTTTGATAATGGCCGCTGCTTCCTCATCGGAAATATCACAAATTTTGTTATCGTCGATTTCCTTTTGGCGTGCCTCGCGTTCCACGCGCTCCTTTTCGTCCTTTATGCGTTGGGTCGCCTCGCGGGCCTTGAGTTTTTCGGCGTGCTCCTCCATGGCCAGCGTAGACTCCTTGCGGAAAATGTCCAGAAGCAGTTTCTCCCATTCCGACTGCTTGGCGCCTGTGTAGAAATCGGTCTTGCGACGCAAGAAGCTGGCCAATGTGTGCAGGAACTGTAAAAGATAGCAAATATTGGTTAAAGCAAGTCCCAAAGAGATATGTCCATGGAACACGATGTGCCGATGGGGAGACTGTTTCTTACTTCGGGCACGCCGCCGCGATGCTTCTCTGCCACGGCCAGTAAAATGGAGTCAAACTTTCCCTCTTCGGCAGACATTGTGCTAGCTATATTCTTTACTATTATAAACTGTTGTAACACGTTAAATTCGTCAAATTTCTGGATGTTTCGATACAAAATTTTACAGCTGCCGGCACATGTGACCAGTGTGACCAGCGTGACCGTGACGATAGCGATACAAATCGATAAAAATAAATACCATTTCAGTTTCGAAAAATACTATTTAAATACTATAAATATAAAACATTCAAGTGTTTCGTCTATTCCATAATTTTGATATTTAGTTTAATATTACTAGATATTTGGCCCTCTCAGCCCTAAACAAATAATTTTATCCAGTTCCTTGTTGTTCCACAACAATGCTGCTAATTCATTTCCCCATGTTGCTGAAATTTTTTCCACGAAAAGCGCTCTCTTCACCACGAAAAGGAGAGCAAATTTTGAAAAACCACCACGAGTTTCTCACGAGCGAATAAAGTGACCAGGTCGAAAAATATATTATATACCAGGAAGTTGTTCAAAAATACCAGTATATACCATGATAACCACTTCACCCCCATCTATTTAAAAGCCTAGTACCACTAACCAAACAGTAGAGTAGTACAAGCGGCTAACGGTCGCATGGTTAATGTCGATGCTCGTTGTAGCTCCGACTGGTTGTTCCAAATGCTGAACTGGGACTTTCATTAGTGAGAATCCATGGCTTCGGGAAATTTGTAATATCTCGACAAACACAAACATTCGTTTGTATGCGATAATACAAGCGGGAAAGTGTTTTTAGCCGCGGCACTAATCATAATTTATAGTTATACAAATACCACTTCTAAAATTGCTCTCGATGGCTCTTATCTGATCTAAGTACTGGCGTTTAAATAAAAAAAACGCTAACATGCTTCTCTTCTTTGAAAACATACAATTTTAAGCAGAAATAAAATATAATACAGACGAATATATATAAAAAAAAAAAGTGGATAATGTGCCAATTGGTTGTGGTTTTTTGTTGTATCCCAATGTAAATTTGGGGCGTTTTTTATTTTTGTGTTAGATTTCACTCTCTATTTTGGGGAACGACACAAAAATGCATTAAGAATATTTAACATAATAAAAATTATTGTAAAAACATCAATAAAATTATTTAATTCAACTACATACATTTTAATCAATTAACTAGCTAATTAACTGAGATACCATCATTGAAAAAATTAAATTGTGTATTTATTGTTGAAAACGTAGCGTACTGCACTGCCTTCAACTTCTGGAGTTCAGTTCCCCCGCATATATATTCGAGTACATATATATGTATGTATGTATATGTATTCCCGTGCACACAAGTTTTCTGAATTTTTGTCATTTTATTTTTTTGTTTGTTTTTTGTTGGATTTAGTTTTTGTTTTTGTTCTTTTTTTTGTTGTTACTTAATATTAATTTTACATACAGTAGTTCTGTTTTCCGTTGCGTTTGTTTTTGTTTTATGCGTATGTAATTGTAAAACATAATAAGTATATATGTATATACTATATATAATATATTCCGATATATGCCTACCAAAACTATGCGCTGTGTTTTTTACGGTTGATTTTGCTTTTTGCCTGCTTTTTTTTTTTTAATAATGACAACATTATTTGAACTTACACACAAAGAAGTTTGAATTTGAGAATTGCTTTTGTTGCTTAATGTTGCTGAATTGCATGAAATGTAATGTCAATTTATTTTTGATTTTCGTAACTCGTTTCCGCTTACATTTGCATTTGCTTGGGGATTTTATTTTACAAGATTTGCTGGCTAACTGTATACAAATTTATCTATTTTGTGTGTTTGGTGTGTGTGTGTGTGTTAAGGGAGGAAAGGGTAAAAGGAGGTAGGGCCAATGCGGATCGATCCGCCTGCCGTTTGGTCCGATAGCAGATGGCAGTGGCGACACATTGGCCCCACATCTTGCACACACATCCTGTATATAGATACTATCGAATTGTGTTTATTAATGGATGAACGAGCGCATCTAATAAAAACATGTTTAATTCTCGTAATGCCCAGAAAGTCGCCTTCGCGCTCTGTCCGTTGCTTGAATTTGTTATTACTCTCGCGTTTACCTAGTTAACTATTAGAAGATCCTTAGCCTACGCTTTATGTACAATTTGTTGGGGTTGGTTTTATACATAATGTTATTTAAAATTACAGCATGTGGTTTAAACAACTAGAACTAATTCAATATATGCTTTGAATGGTTTCCTCTGATGTGTGTGTTCCTTGCTGAATCTGAACTTCTTTCCTGATGGTTTTAGAAACCATCCGCAATCTGCAAATCTCATCTCGGATTCGCGTTCCTTCTTCCACTTCCACTTCCGTACTCTTTTTTTTTTCAGCTGCACATCATTTCACTTACTGCCTAATAATTATGCTTATTATGCTTTTCGTTTAACAAACTAATCTAGTAATTAAATATTTATATTTATGTTTATATCGTTTAGATAAGGCCGTCAATGCAATTAATGCAAACATGTTACAATTACAATTCAAACGCTCCGCCTACTGCGCGTTCTTTCTACTATACTCTTTGCTCTTCCTTCCTTCCTATCTTTCTTTCTTTCTTCGTTTGTTTAGCTTTTGTTTCTGCGTTTTTTGGATTGGATTGGTTTGGTTTAAGTTTTACAGACAATTTATTGGGGGGAATAAACGAGCTTTAAACTAGACTTAAATTCAGGAGCGAATAGAAATTAGATTAAGGGGTTTACGGTATTAAAAGTAAAATTTAAATAGGCTCCTAACTAAAAACAAGAAACGGAGACAACGAATCAAATCGGTTAAATCTGAGACTACATTATATTGCAATTGGAGGATGGGAGGAAATCTAAAGCAGGAAACATTACCAGAGTCCAATGGGGGCAGGACAGGCGTGGTGTGGTGTGGTGTGGTGTGTTGGGGTTTTGGTGACGGTGCAATGGAACTGCAACTGGAACAGGAGTAGAAGACAATGTGAATGACGAACAGCAGCGATCACTTGAGGTATGTTTTGAACAGCGTGGAACTGCGACAAAACTCGCGCTCCTGCTCCATATAGAAGAGCATGTCGCGCAGATTGACGCGCTTGATGCGCGGCCGTAACGTGGTTGGCGCCGAGCCCGAGCTGCTCAACAGTCCGCCGCCGCTGGAACCCTAAAAGGGGAAAGCATTTCGTTAAGCATTTGCCTCACTTGCAAGTCTAAGTCGTTTGAAGTCATACCACTCCCGCACTGGCCGCATCGCTATCCAGTTTGAGTTTCTTGCGGGGTCCAATGGCCTGAAGGGCCGTCAGATTAGCGTCCCGCTGCCGCAGCTCCTCCATCTCGGCACGTTGCATCTCCTTGGCCTAAGAAATGGAATTAAATGGAACTTTAGCGATGCTGTAGGAGAGAATCAGGGGGAGACGGATCGTACCCGCGCCTTCATCTTGGCCTGCTCGGGATCCTCCACACGAGACCTGGACTTGGCGGCCCGGAGCAGCATTTCGCGTTCGAGCTCCTCGTGCCGCTTCTGTTCGGCCTTATCGAGCTCCTCCAGAAACTTGATCTGGCCACGCACATCCTTGGCGGGCTCGTAGCGGGGATCCAACTGCAAGGGAGCAGAGCAAGGATCATCATTATAACATATACAGGATCAGCAGATGAATCATTTCGACCCACCTTGATGACATCAATGCGGTGCTCCGCTATCACAGCCAACTTCTCCACAATGTTCTTCAGTCGCTCCTGGCAGGCATGCGATATGAGGACGGCCACATCCTGCGATGGTTCGTCCAGACCCGCCTCCGTCGTGATGGCCCGTATCCTCGCCTGCAGAGCCGGCATGTTAAGAAACACCTCGTCCTTGCAGGAGCGTATCTGGGTGCCGATGTTCTCCGTGCAGCCGAGTATCCGCTGCGACTCCTCCGCCAGGTTGACGCCGCCCATGGCGGCCACATCGTTGATATCATCGTCCCCATACATTGAAGAGGACATCGAGCTCTGTTGGAAAAACGAATTGGCCGCCGCTGCTGCCGCTCCGCTCGTACTGTTCGCCCTCGCATCGTCCTTGCCATCAAGAGCGTCCCTCCTCTTTTTGCTCGCCGCCGCCTTGCTGATCGCCGGCGATGCCTTTACCAGCGTCTTGCCGGAGATAGGCGTCAGAGAGGCGTTCATTCGCTCCAGATGCGACCCTGCCTTAATCTCCACCAGCTTCGGCTCAAAGTGGTTATTGTTGTTGTGGTGCAGCGAATTCTGCATTTGTTCACGGGCTCTCAGCGCCTCTGGCGGCAGATGGACCGTGGGCAGCGACGGCACCGGCAGCGATGTGACCGATGCCGAATTCAGCGTCGACAGCACGGACAGCGTGGGTGTGGGCGGAGGCCCACTGTTCGATATGGCTGCCAGCATCGGCGGGTGCAGGCTGGGCGTAATCGCCTTGATCTGCGTCTGGCCCACCTTGACGGCAGTGAGTTTGTTCGTGGGCGTGCTGTTCTGCGGCCGGGCCGTGGCTCGGATCTGCACAGTACCCGTTCGCTGCAATTGAGCCTGCTGCGGTCCACGGATTTGCACAATGTTCTGTAAAAATCCACGAATATATATAGTGATGCATCGAATGGCTGGGCTTGGTTTAGCTTACCGCCTGTCCAGGCACTTGCAGCGAGGGTATCTGGGTGCGAATGGCACCCGTGCTGACGAGTCGCGGCGCAGTTGGCAGTCGTATGTTGGGTGGCTGCTTCGATATCGTCGTGTGGCCGATGGTTGGCCGTGGCGTGCCCATCGCATTTGGTGTTATCATGCGCACCTGCGTCTGTCCAATGGTCGTTGTCTGGCTGGGGCCAATTGGACGGATTTGCGCTTGGATTTTCTACAAAAAAAATATAATTCAATATAAAAATGTAACGGAGGATCAGTGTAAAGGACTTACGGGCAGCTGTTGCGAGAGTCCGGCCAGACCGATGACATGTTGGGGCGGCGGTTTGATTCCCTCGATGACCAGCTCCTTGGTGTAGAGGGCCTGACGCAGCAGCGGTAGACTCTTCTTGAGAAACCCAATGAGACAGGGCTGTGGACTGGCGTTGAGCAAACGCTCCAGGCGATCACAAAACTCCTCGGGCTCCACATTCGCATTGACCAGCTCCTGGATGAGCGTGCGCACATTCTTTTCCACCGGCTTCGGTTC